CCCCAAAAGCGGCGGCAAAGCAGCAAAGCTGTCCCTGCCCCGCAGCCCCCGGGTCTTGCCCTCGAACAGGGCAGCCCCGCTCCTCTCCCAGCCCCTCTCCGTGTCCCGCAGGCGCCGTGACAGAAGTCAAGACCGACATCTACGTGACCAGTTTCGGGCCGGTGTCCGACGTGGAGATGGTAAGGGCCCCGCTCGCCGCCCCTGCTCTGTTTTCCCGGGATTCATTACGCTGGCATCTGAGTTGACCGTCATTAAAGCAGATTACGAGGCTTAATCTCTTTGACAATCTCTAGGGCCCAGCAGAGCAGTTTGGCCAGAGCTGCATACAGCTATTTCCCGGCCGCGCCAGCCGGGGCTAGACACACACAGCCTCAAGGGAGGGCCAGGGCCATAGGAGATGCCTCTTTAACCTCACGAAGAAGATGTTGAGCAGCCGTGTCCCAGCACGGCTTTGCGGAACGCTGCCTTGTAGGAGGCAGCCGAGTGAGCAGCGGCAGGGAAATGGTGCCATCGCTGACAGAGCTGCCTCGGCTCATGCTGGGTGCCCCAAACTCAGGCAGCCGCAGACTTGGGTGAACTCTGGCAACTACAGCAGTAACTCCCAGGAATATATTAAATCATGGAACTGAGGATGGCATTGCGGCTCTCTTTCTAGATGCTGACTTGGGCTGCTGTTTTTGCCCTTGTGCACGCCTCTAACACCAGCTCACCTCAGTCTGAAGTCCATTTTGCAGGCTGAGAGCTGAGGGCTCCAAGTACTACCAAAGTTTTTCCCCTGCTTTTTGTCAGTCAGTCTGAGAGACGGCATAACCTTGTATTCTTACAAAATTAGCCTTGGCAAGGTTTAGCTGTTTCCTGAGCAACTTCTGCAGAGAGCCCTTTTATAAAAACTTGTGAAAATATTACTAAGAATTATTGGAAAAAAGTCCCATCAATTAATATTAACTTGACACCATAATCCTACTGTGTTGTGACTCAGATCAGTCCTTTGTGAATATCCAAAGGAAGCTGCAGAAGAGTCACTGAGCATGTCTTTTTGTTTCTGGCAATTAAACACTGATAGTTTGGTCTTGCACTTTGAAAGCTAGGCATTTGTATTTCCTTAGACCTCAGTCACTTTGAATTAAATTATTACCTATAAGAGTAGAATGAGGGTTGTTTATTTCCTTATTCATGTCAAATTTTCTGTTCACTGATTCATTTGTAACTATTCTTCAATGGATGACTTTTTTTAGGAACTACTTAATGATAATAGGATTGAGTGTTTAAGCATTAAATGAAATGCTACTGACGTGTGTTGGTTGTCTCATGGAGTTATTGTCCCCACAGCCACTTGGGACTGCAGACCCCCACGCAGAATTCAACCCTATTTATTTTCCATAGGAATACACAATGGATGTCTTCTTTCGTCAGACGTGGACTGATGAGAGGTTGAAGTTTAGTGGGCCAACTGAAATTTTGAGACTGAACAATTTAATGGTCAGTAAAATTTGGACACCAGACACATTTTTTAGAAATGGAAAAAAATCAATTGCTCACAATATGACAACTCCTAACAAACTTTTCAGAATTATGCAGAATGGAACTATTCTTTACACAATGAGGTGAGAGCTTTTTCTTCTGCTTTTGGTTGACCTGTATTTTTGATTCTATCAGCATTTTCCTATATACCATATTTTTTCATTATCTACAACTATGTATTCTAGACTAACCATTAATGCTGACTGTCCTATGCGGTTGGTGAACTTCCCAATGGATGGACATGCTTGTCCACTGAAATTCGGAAGCTGTAAGTTTTTCTGTCTCTTTCAGTTTGTTCAAGTAACACATTTGGTCAGAAGGTCAGAAGAACCTAAGATATTAGTGACATAGCTGAAATTTTAAGTTGTCTTTTATACTAGAATTCTACTTTTTTCTCTGAGACTCAGACCATTCATATGGACATGGATTTATTTACTGAAGGGTGACTGTTGAAGCATGTTTTATTGTTTATCACTTTTACACTTCTGGTAGTCAAAGTTGGCCCTTCAACAAATCATAAAACCTCTGCTACATTTGCTGTATTACTTGTAATTTTGAAAATATGTAGTCTGTGGTAATCAATTTTGAAAATACTTAGTTGAGCTGTGGGTATCAATGGTTATGTTTTATAGCAGATTAAGAAGCGAAAGCTAATTCCTCTCAGGTCCCACCTCAGCCATTCTCTTACTGTTGTTTTTTTTAAAAACTTTTGTCATTAATGAGGTTAGGAACTTAGTAGAGTAGGATGCATGTTGCTGTGGGCAGTTGAACTATAAATGGGATTATTCTACTTATTTTTTCAATTGCTTATAAAATAAATACGTAGTAATGGTAATTTTCCCCTCTGTTACTCAGATGCTTATCCAAAAAGTGAAATAATTTATACTTGGAAAAAAGGACCATTGCATTCAGTAGAAGTACCACAGGAGTCTTCCAGTCTTCTCCAGTATGACCTCATAGGACAAACTGTATCTAGTGAAACAATTAAATCTAACACAGGTAAGATGGAGCCATGTGGAAACTACTGGTGTTGTGGAACATCTTGATAATAAATTACAGGGTATTTTTTTTTGTCATATAGAATGAAATTAATTATCTTTTGCCATTTTAAAAAGTAAAACCCTTGGACAGACTCTAACATTGTCTCTTAAAAGACAGCTTTTCAATACAGTCTCATCAAACACAGAATTTTTCATGAGATTATTAAAAATTACTACTGCCACTCCACCCCAGTAAAAACATTACATAAAATTAATATTATTCTGCTTTGTTTCCATAAGGTCACTTTACCTTTTTTTAAGCAGCTTATTTTTATTATGCACTAGGAGGTCTGTGATTTCATCAGAACATATTATGTTTGGTTTAAGCCAATAATGCTTACTCACATGTTGCCAAAATAATGCTGACATACTTGTCTCTTGACAGGTGAATATGTAATCATGACAGTTTATTTCCACTTGCAAAGGAAGATGGGCTACTTCATGATACAGATATACACTCCTTGCATTATGACAGTCATTCTTTCTCAGGTGTCTTTCTGGATTAACAAGGAGTCTGTTCCAGCCAGGACAGTTTTTGGTATGCTGCATTAAGGTTTTTGAACAGCTCAGCATCACATCTATCATCATTCATTCATTCATTCATTCATTCCTTTCTTCTTTTCATTACTTGTTTGTTTTAGGTGAATATTCACTCCAGCTGCTCTATTTCCATCTGCAAAGGAAAATAGGCTACTATCTCATTCAGACATACATTCCATGCATCATGACTGTGGTCTTGTCTCAAGTTGTGTTTTGGATCAACAAAGAATCTGTTCCAGCAAGAACTGTGGCTGGTATTGGTGTTTTCCTTTTTGTCATTCATTTCATTCACTGTATTGAATTCATTGTATCAATCAGATACTGTAATCCAGGGAGGATTACGAAAGGCAGCTAGTAGGTTTCAATCAGCAAAAGTAAATACTAAAGTGGAACCAGATGATAGTTAATTTGCCTATGAGGGTCAAAATTATTGACTCAGAATTTTTGGTTAGCCAGACTTGTTTGTTGTGGTTTTCTATATATTTTTGTATGCAGTAAGGGACAATTTCAAAATAAGTATCGACCTCTTAGCAGATTTTTTTCGTGTGGATTCATTGTCTTGTGAAACCAATATGAGTCAAAGCTATAAAAGTTAAAAAAATCACATGGGATGGAGTTATTATCTGATGTAAGGTACCTCATCTAGCAGTAATTTTGGAGTGCTCTCTTCTCCTTGGCTACAAAGAAATCTAAACAACTAACAAGAGCTTTAAATGGATAAAAATCAGTGAGATGAATAATATCCCTAGCATAGGCTGAAGTTATAATAAGAAAGATGTATCCATACTGCATGGCAGGGTCTTTTTTTTCTTTACAGTGATTTGAATTAACTCTCTCAAAGCTTTGAGTCTCCTGGTTCGTACATATATATGAGGTTTATATTCCAGATATGATGCTACCTGATTTGGCCTCATGTTGCATCTCTGGACTGTAGAGTTGCATCCTCTACATTTTGAGAAAACATATTTGCAACACAGTGGGCATGGAAGGTAACTGTACATGCTTGAAGAAATGTGCAAATAGGTCTGTAGCCGATTTGGTCATATACATACACCCCAGACACTGGAATAACAGCTCTTAAGGGTTGTACTGAAGAGTAACATGGACCTGAGAAAGCATTTCATGAAAAGAGTAAAATAAACACCTTTCTGTATTGTGGAAAATAGTGATGTTAGCATTTTAAAAGAATATTTCAATCCTTATTCCATTTGTATTTCTGACAGGGCAGTCGGAATTTCTAGTCCTGACTCATTCAAAATCCCATGGATTCTGAATACCTTAATCTAAGGAAAAGGGCAAATTCCTTATGACTAAAAAAGACTTCAGGTCTTTTTCAGTGAAAAATAAAAGTTTTAAAATGGAGAAGGTTTAAATTGCATCATATTGCAAATACTTGAATTATAATTTTCTTTTACATTTAAGTCCCAAAACTAAGTTTGAGAGAAGAGAAATTAATAGTAGAAAAATAACGATGTGCCTAAACCAGTTTTCAGCAGAAAATAATTTAAGGACTTTGTTTACCTCCAAAATGGATGCCAGTTATCAGATTTCAGTGTTTGCACTATTTTACATATTCTTCAAAATTTACCAAGAAGTGTTCAAAGTGTAAAGACGAGGGTAAACAATCAGCAGTTACACTATTTACCAACTGTAATTTGGTATTCAGTTTGATGAAGTAGCTTTCCACAGTGTAGAGCATTTCATCAATATTCACTCCACACTGAGAGAATTTTTATCTGTATCTGTAATAGAATAGGATATCTATTCCTAATTTAAATTCCTGCTGCAGTAAGTTTTTATTCAGACACAGAATATATCAATTTTATTACTAACTAGCACATGGACAGATTCTAATCCAATCACACATCATTTCAAAAAAGTTCATTCTGGACCTTTGAAATTGAAATACATCTCAGTGTAGTTGTATTCATATTATGAGTCTGGCAGATTTGTGAGAAGTAGAGATCCTATGTCTTTCTATACCATCTCCTATTTGTATTTCATTAAAACATGTTAAGTAATGACATTGGGACGTAGTTAGCCTGTGACAGCTGGCAAGTCACATCATGTGAAAGAGTTGCAGAGAAACTGAAAATAATGTCACCCTCTCTGGATGCTGCAATATGCTATGACACTGCATCCTTTCCTCTGAGCATCACTCATAGCATATTGCTTCATCAACTCAACATGACCATTACAGTATGACATTGCTTCTTTTACTTCACCACCTACCCTTTCCCAATAGAAGAAAATAGGAGAAGAGAATATTCTCCACCTTGCTGTCTTTAAATACCCACAGTTTTTGCATTCTAGCAGGCATAACTCTAAGTAGATATGAGTCACAGAGGCTTGTATATAAATGATTGAGTTCTTGCATTTTTTGCTTGTATCAGGCAGCAGTAGGAAGTCAGTATATTTCCTACATTATTAATGCTGTACACTTCAACATAGAAAGAATAAATTCATGAATTCATGTGAAGAACACCATGGGGTCCATGAGCTACATGACCAGATTTACTCTGTGAAAATAGATAAGCAGCTCTAGAGAAGTAGCTTTTCTGTCCTTCCCTATTTGTAACTACAGGCGCTTTCAAATCAAGATACACTTAGTGAATCTTAAAAAATGTATCCAGTGATTAAAGACAACAGCTCAGGGGACCAAAGCATTATTACTTGAAATCTTTGGATTGTGCTCTGACTGTTTTCAATGTAGAATTTGACTGATTTAGTGAGCATTCTGTAAGCCATGATCTGCCTTATCCAACAGCAGGGGAAAGGAGAAAGGATGACTGTTGGGGACTGACAATATGTGAATCCAGGTTTCTTGCAAACATTCCACTTATGAACCCCACAAGGAAAATCTCCTTCATATTTTGAGCCTGGATTTTGTTACAGCCATGTTTATCACAATTCTAAGAAGCAGCACCACATAGAATGTTGTTACCCTGCCTTTCAGTCTGCTCAATGCATTAAAGAAGTTTTTCCAGACCTTTTAGATGCTGAATCCAATATACATGAGTTATTTAAGGATACAAAATGCTTTGAGTTTTGTTGGTTAGCTGGGATGTAGGATGACAGCTAAAATCAAAAAGGATGTTGTGCTTTGGTTTTTTTTCATATATATGAATTTAAGAGTAGCAGGGCTGAAGAAAAGTTGTAATGCCCCCTATTTCCTCTTCTTGTTTTCAAGGAATCACTACAGTTCTCACAATGACCACTTTAAGCATCAGTGCTCGCCATTCTCTGCCCAAGGTGTCCTATGCCACCGCCATGGATTGGTTCATAGCTGTGTGCTTTGCCTTTGTCTTCTCTGCACTTATTGAGTTTGCAGCTGTCAACTACTTCACCAATCTCCAGACTCAGAGAGCGATGAGGAAGGCAGCCAGGGCAGCAGCACTGGCAGCAGCACTATCAGCAGCAACTGTACCGGCAGAGGACGAGATTGTCTCGGTAATTGCTTGCTTTTCTGATAATAAGCATCATATAGGAACAGGCAGATGAAGTAGTGAATGCAAAACAATATTAAAGTGATCTTAACCTGAAACAGGTTATGTAACCAGATTGTGTCTGTTTATCAAAGACATTGTTCTGATTGAAGAAAATGAAAATACTTAATTTATTTTTACTGTTTATTTAAATTTGCGATATGATTTTCTGAAGAGGTGTTTATTTGGCAAGATATTTAAGGAAAGCCATTCAACTGTTGTCCTTGGTACTTCTCTTGAGCAATGCTGTAGGCAGTGTGGTAAGACAGCTGTGGTTCCCAGTAAGTCTGCAGAATTTGTGGGACAGTGGACAATGGAATGAACATGTGCATTGGCCAGATGATTATGGAATCACTTTAGTACAAGGGTACAGACCATAAATGAGTCATCTGGAAGATGGGTAATTAGCCTTTACATAAACTTGGCATCTGTTACCTTTATGAAATCTGTGTTGGTGTAAGCTTGAGGAAAAAAAAGCCATAAATGAAGGATAGGTTTTAGTACATGTGAAAGACAGGAAGTCATTCCAGTATCAAAAAAACTGTCAGAATTGCTTGCAAATTTTACTCTGTAAATCTCATGCTGAATCATGAATGCTGTCCGACAACGTATGTTAATGTATATATATCACTATGGCCTTCCTGTTTCAAAATCGGTTTTACTGTCACCATGATTTCCACTTTTAGAGAAATAACTGGATTTGAATGACATTTTGGACCTTTGAATCTATAATTGAGTAAGGGAGTCAATCTAAGAGATGCCCATATCAAGGCAACACCTTACCCACCATATAGTAATTTTTTCCGCATTTGCTGATAAATAGCAGTTAAAGTTACAACATTTAAGTACTTTCAAACTATTTAAATCATAATTGATAAGTTTTTCTGACTCTTTTGGAAGACAAGCTATCAGAAAAAAACCCAAAAAGTTCACCTGGTTTTATATAGCATGAAGAAAATATTGATAGCTACTACATCTTGAAGAGGAACAATGGCTTGGACCTGTCCTTCACACACCTCCTTATTCAACTTTGAGTTAATCATAGGGTTTACTAGAAAGAAAAAAACAAAAAATTACTACTTTCGTTTTTATGAAGTCCCTGCTGAGCACTAGGAAAACAGTTAGACTGACTCTGCATGTCCTGCTGGTGTATTCACAGCCACTGCTGTCATCTTCCTCACATTCCCAGTCTCAGGAAAGCAACTGTTCCAAAAAATAATCTTCTGCTTCTGCCCAGATAAGCTAAGAACTTGTTCCTGAAGATAGGGCTTCTCCAGATATACATGGTCTATGAATCACAGCAGAACAAGCTAAGCACCAAATACAAAATTTCTGTTGAACAAATGAATAAAAGATAAAGAAGTTAAAATACTCAAATTTCTTATCAAGGTCTTCAGCCATAAATAAACAAAGAGCAAACTGAAGACACTTCCTCCTGTTTTGTAAATATTAGCTTGTTAGCATTTCCAAGTAAAAACCAGGAAAAAAAAAAAAAAAGGCATCAAGGAATAAAATACATATCTAGGAAGCCCCCTGCAGCAATCTGCTCAAGAAAATTATTGACATCTAGCTTACAGCATACAGATTTAGAAGAATGTTAAATCCCATAACGTTCAGGTCCTAAAGTAAACTCAGTCTCTAAAACAGCCCTCAACGTCCACAAAATTCTACAGACCTGATCTTGCTCAAAGCAAGACAATCATTTTCAAGCTCTGTATGTCCACCACTTTTTTTCTCCCAGAAGAACTGCAGTAACAGAAAGATCAAACTCAGTGAGACCTTAAAAATGAAGGGTACTTACAATTGAAGGCAAAATGATGTAGTAAAAAAGGCTTCTAGAAGAATTAGCTATTGGATTTAAAGGTTCCCTTCCGGAAGGGCATTCTGGGAAAAAGGGGTGATTATAGGATAACAGATTTTAAGAAGCTTTTCTTTTTTCATTCCTTTTTCCTTTTTTTTTCTTTGGTAGAGATAAGGGGGAAGGAACTTTTGTACGTTGTCACATCAATAGATATAATGCAGTCAGTGATATAATTTCATATGAAACAGACCTGAAGTGTCTAATTTAAATTAGACAAATCACACACAGCCTGATTGCATGAATGTATGACCATTTTATCAGGACTGTCATTCTCACTGAGCCTTGTGCTTCTACAGCTACATTACTGGACCTACAGCAATTATTTTTAAGTAAGGCACACAGCATATTCAGTTTCTTTCTTAATGTAGGTTTAGGATGTCCTTCCTGAATTCCCACTTTACTCTTTGTTTCCCTGTATTCCCCAACTTGTTCAGTTGTTTGCCTCTAAATCCTTTCAACTCTTTTCCTTCTTACTTTTTTTTTTTTTTTATTGCTAACAGTGCCCAATTCTTATTCTTTACCTCTTTGATAATTTATCCTACTTTTCTGTTCTTTTTGTCTCTTCTCCTCATTTTCTCTGCCTCTCTTCTAAAACTTCCAAGTCACTAGAAATACAAGCTTAAGAGAATCCATATCTTACACATTATTTTTAGAAGTCTACTTTATTTGATTTTAAAAACATTTATTCTTCTCCATACCCTGTACTTTTTATCAAGCAACCTTCTTTCCTCTTCAATTTAGTTATTTTTATTTAAAATTTTGCTTTATTCAAATAAACTAAATTCTCTCAAGCAGGTTTTTATAATATAGCCAAAAACACTGTATTCTCAGAAAATAAATATGTCAGAAGATTAAATTCTGCTCTACTGTAGAATGAAAGTAGGAGAAAATGCTGCAGCCACTGAACTGTAGTGGATTCAGTAAGAGAGATGAGGCTGTGACCATGTGCTCAGCAGAGATGAGAGATCAGCAGGCCTGGGCTGACTCCAGGAAAGCCTCTCTATTTACCTCAGGTAACTGAGGGCAGGATTTGGCTTGCACTCTTCATGAGCTGCAGGCAATCCCTGTGTGAAATACAAAACTATGGGTGTTCTACTGCAGAACACGATGGCAACAAGCTGAGTATTCATCTGGACTCTGACATAAACCTGTTCTTACTCCTGTGGTGGCCAAGCTGGTTTTAGCATGTCAAAACCAAACATCTTACACATACACATATACAACCATGATGGCATTTAGCTTTTAAATACATTTCAAATGTGTATTTTCTATATCAGTTGCATTGTTTCCTCTTGATGGCTTTCTTTTCCTAGGAAGATCCAAGACCTGGAAGTTGCAGATGAAGGGAATTGCTGATAGTGTGTGGAGCACAACATTTGCAGTAATGCTGTGTGGGATGGTCAGGGAGTAACCCCGTGGATCAAAAGACAGCCTTTCCATGTGAGAGGCTACATGTAAAACACAAGTTTACTGCCCTGTAACAGCTTGATTATGGTTATGTTCTAAAAGACCTCATGTTTTAACAGAAATCAGCACAGAGCAGTGAAATACCACTGGGAGAGCTTCCTTCTCCCTCCAGTCTTGTGTTTCAAAACAGAAAGGATTCTTACTCACTTTTACAGCCCTGGCCAGCTGCAGAGCCGCCGTATGTCACTGGTATAGAGGATTTAGTTTCCTATAATTATGTTGGAATGTATTGAGTATATTTAATGAGTATCGTGGTACAATGGAGTACTTGTATCTGGATCATCAGCCACCCTTTAGGTATCATCCTAGAAACAGCTACATGCTTTAAAGTCTTTACTGAGAACATTGAGGCCTAATCCCAGTACTTTTTTTGCAGGAGGGTAGTGAGAACAAAATAAGGTAAATTTAATTATAGGGAAAAAACATATGGACAGACACTGACAGATTTAAGAGCCAAATGTGGCTTTGAAAATTTAAATCTGTTTAATGTAAAAATGTATTTTGACAGCAGAGAGGCTCTGTGCCAATTATATGTTCTTTCTGGCATGCTACAAATAACAAACATTAGGAAGAAACTCTGCCATAGCACATTCCCATTGAAAAGAGAATGACCAGGGTTCCAGTCTTTGCTCTCCTTACTGCATATATGGTTTATACGACAGCAGTTTTAATACAGTGGCATTGGGTAGTTTTCAGTTATGCTTCCTGACTATATAGATGTTTAGATTTTTCCATGCAAAATAAAACAGCTCTGAAGTAATAAGGTAGCAGCCTCTTTCCCCTTATTCACCTTCACCTGGTGTTTAGGCTATATTCTGAGAGAAGTAAATTTCAGTTCCTGGAGGTTACGAAGGAATTTGAACATGGTTTTGCCATGCTCCAAATGAGTAATTTAACCTAAGTGATTTAACCCTTTTACTAGGGTAGAAAATTATGAAAAAAAAGTCTTCATGTGTTTCTAGCAAAGGTAACTTAAAATGTCTAAAGAGATGCATAAAACTAGGCCTATTAATAACTTCTAAACTATATTCAGCTTTTGATTATGCAGGACGCTGTTTATATCGATAAACAATACACATTATTTGTAACAGACATTTTTTAAAATCAGATCCCACAGATGAGACATTCAAAGAAGTGTCCCAATTGGGGTTTATAATGAATCTCTGCCATAGAGGGATACTGAAACTGCACAGAACTGTATTGTATGAGGTTCCTTAGTACATGGCCAAAAGATGATACACACTGTAATGAATTTGCCTGCTGGAATGTGCTGCATATGGATTATTCAGTTGCTGAGGAGAGTTTTCACAGATCACCCTCGTGGATGTAGGGGCTAAACCGTGTTTAACACCCCCATTTTGGAGATAAGTCACTATCATGTGCTGTTATGTCTGTGATGGTTGAAATTACTCAAACTGTATCTACTAATGAGCAGAAGCAAAAAACCTTACATATTCAATTAGGCATTCTGCCTTTTACAGACAGTGAGTTCTGGTTCTAGGTTGGTTTGTGTGTGTGTTTCAGGAAAGTTCAGTGTATTTAAACAAAATAAACTATGAAGAAAAGAAGAAACAACACATTATTTTTACCTAAACTTTTAGAGTTTATTCTCATGAACCTCTTTTTACAGCATTGCTAGCAGGAAAAGGAGATGTGAGTAAAAGACAGATAAGGAAGGACGTAGAGATATTCATTTTTTTAAAGTTAGCCACTATCTGGGTTGTATATATAAGAATTACTTATAAACTGATAGTGAGAATATGCATTTGCAGTACAAAGCAACAGAGAATTCTACAAATATGAATTACAGAAATCTCTTGAGGGAAAGAAACATAAGAACAAAGTGAATTCATAAATCACAGTTAGCATGCAGGAAAGCCTAAGAAAGAGCAGACAAAGAATCCTGTTTACTCCAAGGTTATGTATGCTGTATATTTTCAGATCTGGAAGGCAAGAAATTTGGTGAGAGCCTCCTGAGATATTCTGAGTATAAGCAAATTCTAATGTTACTAAGGAGAGCTGTGAGAGAGCAGAGCTTTATACACAGGATGAGAGTGCTTTGTGAGCTTTCCAGGGGATGAGATAGCTTGGCTGCAAAAGCTTAATAAGAAGTCAGACTATACCTTACAGGCTGTCTACATACCAGTGTTTGTTTAGTCCAGTGTGATGGTGTCTCACATTAAACAACGACTGGCAATCTGTTCTGTGTCACTGCCTACTCATACAGAGTTGCAGGTTTAATTGCCTGATGGGACTAACATTCCAGATGAGTGAAAGAGCACTTCTCTGAATCAAGGTTCAGTAACTTAAGAAAATCCATTATTTCCTTACGACACAGTGTGCCATGCCTCAGGCTTCTTGTTCTTGCTACTTGTAGAACAGTCCTTACTTGGTTAGCGTTCAGAACAACTGTAGTAAGAAATTATATGGTCTCCTCACTGCCTCCCCTTTTTGGTTTAGCAGTGAATTCCAATGAAAAATATGAATTGTGGTTCTGGGGCAGCAGTCTGGTCTATAAACAACTCCCATGCTGAGAAACATCCTCATTACACATCTGAGATAAATTTGGACTTAGATTTCCATATCCTGAGTAGGGATTTAGAAGAAAATAGACTTAACCCTGAGCTCACTGTTATGGGGACACAGGACTGTTAAAGAGAGTGTAAATAACTTAGTCAGGGTTTTTCTTGAGATGAAATCAAATTGAGACAATCCTCATACTTGAGCAATCTTCCTTCTATAGAAATGAGATTTAATAAATATAAATAAAATAATGACTAGGATTACACTTTTACAAGTGCCTATTCAGGTTATCACAAAGGTTTTACTACCTCCACATTCTAAATATATTCAGTACTAAATGTCATCCAAAGACCATACATTACATCTTTTCTACTTACTATTAACTTTGTCACCTCAGCACTGTAATTCCTGATTGATGCTTGAATAATCTAGAATAGAATTTGACCTACCTTGTACCAGAATATTGTAGATAAAAAGGGCTAAGATTCACCTTAACGCTTGTATTTTTAGGAACCACATAGTGTCCACAAAAGGTCATTATTCCACAGTAAATTGAAAAACAAGATACCTTATAGCTTGCCCAGTTCTGTTGAAAGCAGGGCATGCAGGCAAAGTAGAACAGAGCCTGAGTGAAAGCAGGAAGGCAGGCTCAGCCAGCCAGTCTGTTTATAGATTATTATGATTAGCGCAAGTGGACATGGATAACCCTCTTTCTGTTTCTATGACACATCTGTAGATCATCCTCCATTTAAATCTGTCTGTTGATTGCTGTGTTACTGGAAAATACAAAACTAAACATCTGTGTTCCAGATAGGCACAGAGCAGGAATGCTGTTTAATACCCATTCAGAACATGACACCAGTCATACAATGTATAGAGGGAAAATTGGAAGTGGTGATTAGTTTTAGGGGAAGAAAAAGGGCGATAGGTAAGAGAAATAAATACAGAAAAAGTGCTGTTTCCCTTTGGAAGTAGATGATACTCTCTTCACCTTTTATTTAGACTAAAATCAGCTGTGAGGAATCCATCTCATCCTAATTTTAAATGGATACCAGTCCATTCATAAACAGAACTTGGCATCCTATCGTAGAAGTGTCACTTGTTCTGATTCTTGGACAGTAACAATGACTTCTGTAAGGATAATTCCTGTTACAACTATTATAAGTCAGGTGATACCTGTTCTGCTAGGTTAGTCTGTTACAAAGAAATCATGGCCCAAGAAGAATGGGCAGTGTATAGCAGAAAATGCTTCCTTTCCTTTTGGTGACTCTGATTGACTAAAATCTGTTCCCATGCTTAGAAATCCTGCAAGATAAATCCCAAAAATGCTGACAGCATACTACATTTAAGTGAATAGTTGTCATTAAATCACTCCCAGTGAATGACTTTGGAAATTGACTGTTTAAAGAATTTTTCTACCTTAAAAACATTCCAATGTTAGTCTCCCATTTTACTATAGATCTATGTACTGTTATGTTGCAACTTACTTACATTGTCCAAGACTTCCCTCATGTGCTTCAGTCAATTGGTCATCTTGTTCTGCTGACCAAAAAAGCTTTGTATGCAAATCCAAGAACATCTGTGTATATTGTGTGATTTTGTGCACAAGATTTTTCATCAGTAATCTGGGAAATGAGTTTTATGGACAAAGTTTTAGTCTTAAGCTCCATATTAACAGAACATGACAGCACTTCATCTCAAAACAAACAACAAAGTCACTCTTAGCATCCTTCTGTATTTTCTCAGGCAGCAGATGAATCTTATGTGGATGCTGCCATGCATCCACTAATGGACATCCTGGGATATGGCAGTAGCAGCAAGGTTTTTGAATATTTCCTCCTATTTGACACTACTGTGAAAGTGGATAATCGATATCCATTAGAGCAGGCTTAGAGTCTGTGGCAGATCCTATTCCTAAGTCATTTCTGGAAAAAAGAACTCTATTAACTTCTGCTCTTGTGAAAGTAAAATAATGGCAATGTGGCCCCAAATAAAAGAGATGTACAAAATGAATATACATGTTAGTCTAGTAACTAAGAGGTAAACTCTACATGTCCCTGAGTTCTGGCTGAATTTTCATAAGAATTTTAATTCAGCTTTCTGAAGAGTAATTGGATCTGGCTGCAAATACTGCACAAAATACGGGAGTAATTTGGTTTCATTTCACCATAAATGAAAATAAAAATAGTCCCATTACAGTTAAGTATATTTGTCTTCAGCTGTATGCCTGAAAGTGCTGTGGGAATTATGAGATATATTTAAAAATGAAATTTTATCCTGGAAAAAACAATAGGACAATTTAGCATTCATGTCTTCAGCAGCTGTAAAGTTAGTCCATTACCTTTTGTGCAGCAGTTTTCTAGTTCTTGCATGGCTGTTTGACTCCATTCAGTGTTTACCAAGCTCATCAATGCATTCAGCCAGGGAAGACTGCACCTGAGCCAGCCTGTATTGATGTTTTGTTGAATCTTGATCCATATCTACACAAACTTCAATCATACCAACCTACTGCAATTTAGATACACCATTACCTTCTATTCCTATAAGCTCTATTTTTTTCTTTTTCTCTTTTGGAGCTTCCACTTATCACAATGTTAAAAATATGAAAAGCACATATTCTCTCATGGCTTTACAACAGAGCTTTAGGCCATAAAGATATATAACCTTCTGTATAGATGCATTATTTTTGTGATTTTCTGAGATTGTACTATAGCAGAGAAGAAACAATAAAATCAGAAAGTTAAGTTAAAAGGTGGAAAGAAGTCTAAAGATCACAAAACCTAAGACTGTATCCAAATATCACCTTTTTTTCCTGTTCTTTTTTCTTTCACAGCATTCTGACTCCAACTCTAACCTGAAGAAGCGAGTAAACTCCATAGCATCTCAGGCAGAGCAGTCTCCTGAACCCAGCATAATATCAAATACTGCATCCCAGTGTCAACCACTGTCTGTTCCTCCACCAGCCCCACCACAACCACCAGCCATTGGAGGTGCAAGTAAAATAGACCAGTATTCCAGGATCCTCTTTCCAGTGGCTTTTGCAGGATTCAACCTGGTGTACTGGGTTGTTTATCTTTCAAAAGATACTATGGAGGTGAGTAGTAAATTTTCTGAATACTCATCTGTAATATGTAATGTTTACTTGGCCAGCATTGTTTCAATTGTTCATTTACTGTTGCAACTCAGTTCATCAGTCCTTTCTGAGTGATACATTTGTTTTAATTCCTTCTGGAAAAAATCTGTAGCACTCTGTACAATCCAGAAAGGCTGTTTGAGGAGGGGAAATGTAAACACATCTCTCCAAACCATGCTGCACTGAGCAGAAAATGCTCTGTAAGACAGCATAGGATGTCATTCTTAGCAAACTAACTGATTTTAAATCTTCTATTTCCTAACCTGTTACAGGGAATGGTAGAAATATCAGTTGAAGCAAAGAAGTGAAAGAGATAACTTTAATATCCTAAGGTTTTCTCAGTGAGCTAGTACTATAAGTCTCCCCAAAAAGTTTATTATATAGTATAAAGGATTAATAACTGCAGTATAAAGTTTGTGAATCAAGTGTCCCTAGTTTTGTACATTCCAATACATTTTCCTGTTTTTTTAATATAACTATACTGTTTTATGCATATAAAGCTGAAAAATCTTTGCTTAAGTTTGTTGGAATCAGGCAGAGGGTGATTACTTCTTTAGATATCCATGAGGTCCAGAAGAGGCATGTGCCCTGCAAATTGAGCATGTCTAGAATAATCAGTCAGTAATCAGTCATTAAACTTGTAAGTCTTTAATGCTTTAAATCTCTATTTTCCCCCCTTTTTTGCCTAAATAAAGTTAATTGTGTCCTATTTCCTTGGTAAAAAATACATTCATTTGCCTCGTTGCTATAGAGTTTTGGATCTCACTGTACATTGCAGTCAATATGATTGGTACATTTAGTTTATTTAGGACAGCTAGGGAGATAATGATGGTATTTAGATAGCACCAAATGCACAAAGTCCCTACGCCAATAAAAACAGAGGCTGGAAATCTGGTATGAATGGGGAACAGGCTCTACCTTTATTTCCTAGATTAAGATCAGGCTGAGGGAAATCTTGTGGGCAGCCAAGAGATGTTGCAATTCAGAGGAAACAAGACAGTGCTGATCAGCTGATTGGTGGCACCTTAACTCTGCCAGAAGGCTGCTGCTCTACCAGACTCTCATTTCTGGTACCAGAATGATCTGGAAAACGCTGTCTCAGAGATGGAGTGTGCTGCCAAGCAGCTTCTATGGAATTGTGAGGGCAGGAAGGTAGGAGACACTGTCTCTTACAAATGTTCCTGCAGATGTCTCTCAAGAGGTCACAGCTGCCAGCTCCTGGCCATTCCAACCCTGCCCAGTGCTAAATTTAGCATCTGTGCCAGAGTTACTGATCCTGCTGTTAAAATATTGACTACGTGTGCAAATTAGTTATCTCAGTCAGAGAAGGGAGGTATTGAAAATGCTCGTGTGTGATCATGACAACTTCTGTTTGTGTGTAGCTTGCCAAGACTCCAGTGATTTCACTAAACCATTCACATTTTGGATCTAGAAATATTTTGAACATACTTGCCATTTCCCTTGGTAGTGACGAAATATTTGCACTATAACATTGTATATTAATAATAACATTAGAAACAGGCTTTTAAAATAATTCCAAAGTCTAGGACTAAGTGCTGACTATAAATATTTTTAAATGCTACTGTGCAAGCTCACAAACATGCTCAGAAGCTCAGAAATTATGTTACATAGTAGCATTACAGAATGACAGAAACCCAGCAGCAAGACTTAAAAAAGAGAACAGTATTGACAGCTGGGGTGTTTTGAATTATGAAAAATATAAACAGTTGTGTAATTTTTGACCAAGGTCTTCCCAAATTACAGTTTCAGGTGTGTGTACTCAGTTATAACTAATAATAATTGTGATATATACTGATAGGTTTCTAATTCAAATGTTGTTTTACCAGTTGATACTTTTAACAACCAGAATTCTTTTTGCATTAAAAATATATTAAAAATATGTAAGCTTTACATTTCAAAGAGAGGAGATACAAAAGTTAGGTGAACAAAGCATGGTGAGCTTCAAGGGTAGCTAAACTTAATTTTTGGCTCCCCCAGGCCCAATAGATTTAATGTACTTACAGTATTATTCCACTTATTCAATTTAAAAAAGTGCATTTTGTGCATTATTAGAGATATAATAGCTTTTTTAAGTTACTTTTTTGAGTTCATGGGACTTTTTTTTAGAAAAAAAAGAAAGAGGAAAATATCTAATGGTTTAATTGAAATAAACAAATTTCCAGTACACCAGTTCTTGTACTGCAGCTTTCTAGGATTTTTGTTAGTGCAGTTTGGAGTGCAGAACATCATTCACCAATTCATGTGCTTAAACTGAAGAGCTATTTACTTTCTTTGGAGGTACACAGAGAATAAATCAGGCCTTTCATGAACCTGTTTGTAAAAACAGATTGTTAGTACTGGAATCAAAGGTCATTTTCATTTTCAACTCCTATCATTATTTTCTGGCCAGACTCTTCCTTTGGCTTTGAAGGAAGAGCAAGAACAGTTTTTTTACTTCATGTTCTGGACTCAGAGCCTCAGCTGGGATGAGAAGCCTTATAAGTGTAATGACACAGAGTTGGATGGAATCAGGAACTCTTTTCTAAGCTGTTTGTTACTAGTTCGGTACAATACTAAGCAATTTTCTTATGGCTTAAATAATGGACCATGTGTTACAGAAATGAAAAGGTCATTTTTGTGTATTGCAGCTCGTAAGATTTATGGGAACTTTGGGGACTGAGTACTTTTCAAAGTGCTCCTTGGATAACTTTTTCTTCCCCTTTCATTTAATAATTTTCAGGTTAATCACCTTTACTATACATGTAAACTAAGAGTATGCAAATTACACAGACATTTTTTATTTGAAGCTTGTGTAAAGAAGAAGGTGTTTTTAATAAAATGTACACCTTAAAACATTTGAATGTTATCATCATAGACTGGTTTGGATTAGAGGGGATCTTGAAAATCAGAGAATTCCACACTCCTCCCATGGCAGGGACACTTTCCACTAGACCAGGTTGCTCCAAGTCCAGTACAATCTGATCCTGAAAACTTCCAGGGGTGGAGCGTCCACAGCTTCTCTGAGTAAACTGTGCTAGGGCTTCACCACCCTCACAGGGAGGGCAGCCAGGATTGGACAGGCAGCAGAAGTATCTTAGACTGAACTCTGTATTTATACTTCTATACGTACTGCATCAATTCAAGCTTTGCAAACCAGGAAGCTTAGTAGCAAACTTTCATTGCAAGATAAATATTTTTCTATATTTGAAATCAAAACAGCACCATTCTCTGAAGAAAAAAATGAAAAAAAAAATCCAGTTAAAATTAAGTAGTTCTGAATGCTTTTTATGCATGGATGGGGACAACATTAATCTTCTGGTCTTAATATTTTAATAAAGGGTTCAATTCATGATTGGAACAAGTGGGAAAACATTCTTATTCAATAGCAGTCATTCACTGTGCAACTTGATACATGAGATATTTCAGTGTAAATGGTTTGCACTGGGGAGTAGCAATAGCATTGCAGAACAAAAATTGTATTGGTCAAAACAAAGAAGCTAAATTAGCGAAGTTCTGTGTCTGCATTTTGTCAGACTGTATATTGGTAGAAGCTAATATAACCAAAGGATTACAAAATGTATAAAATAACAGGTACTGGTTTTTAGACCACAGAAAATGCTGTAAGATACTTTTAAGATAAGTCCCTTTTTCTCTAAACAGGTTTTACAAGTTAATGCTGACAGATGCTAACTATAGCTATTATATAACTATAGCTAGTATATAGCTATACTATACTATTTATGCTAAGAAAAAAATAATAATCAGAGTTACTCTAAGAGGACTTACTCCCTCTCTGTAAGGTCAGTTAAATCAGGTGGAAGGTTTGAAGATGTGGCATCCCCATGATTTATACATGGGTGATGGAATTGGCACATTTCTATGGTTCATGTTCTTCTGTAGGGTACAGTAATATCTGCTATCCACAAGAAGCTCTCCACAGTAATGAACAGGACACATTTGTCCAAATTAGATAAGTAGAAAAGTTCTTGAAAGAAGAGCAAACCTTTCTGGTAAATGAGGAAAAAGATATTCTAGCTTTTTATTTTGCCATACAGCATATTTTGGCTTTGTTTTCTGTTTTAAATCTCCCTGAGTCCTTGAACTGAATACTAATTTATGACAGTGACCTTGGTAGGTGAATTGCACACTTAGTCTATTTTCAAATTTGCTTGATTTAGAGTACAAACAGTCCCCTTTTAAAACGCTGCAAGTACTACCTTTGCCATATAACTCACAGTGCATGTCTACCACATCTTACACAACTTGTTTCTAAATTTATCTATCTTATTTTTTATATGTAACATTTTATTATGGTTTCTCATGTAATAGAGCATGGAATGATGGAGTGAATCAGCCTAGATAAGGAGATGATGTTAAAATTTCGATTATAAATTCAGAAAAAAGAAGCAGAGGTTTTATGTATTTTATGTTTGGGAGCACAGGAAGATACAAAGTCACTAAATGGACCAGATTTGCTGAGTCCTGGGTGTTATTTGGATGCAGAGAACGTAGCAGGATGGCTGGAGAAGATTTACATAAGTCAAAGATGCTAATGATGTCAGGTGGGAGGAAAAAAGAACAGAGGAAGGAATGAACAGGAAAAGTATTTAGCTTCATTACATTGGTATTATAAGGCTTGTAGTGAATATCGTTATATCATTTTTTAGTTTAAACACTGGAGAAATAAAGTTTAGGAGGAGCAGTCATTGGCATACATAGTTAAAAACAGAGCTTTGATGATCCAGGTAATGAGCATCAAATTCTAAGAGGATTTTCCTTGTTATGCAGTTCTGTTTTGAGTCTGCTGAGAGAGTCAGAAATCATGGGGGTTCGTTGGTTAACTCAATTGTTGTTAACAATGGGTAACAACCCACTGCCTAAAGCTCTCTAAACTTCTCTTCCAGTTTTTTGAACCTTTGGCAATGCATTTTCGAAATGACCCTCAGCCCAACTGAAGAACAGCCCAAGATTTCAAGAAAATCACTCAAGGTCACAGAGGATTGCAGAGACTTCAAAAGATTTGTCTGTCCAGAGGTGCTCTCAATTTTAAGATGTAATATTTATATTGGACGTTACCTGGATGCAAATTCTGGCCAAATCAAGGGCTGCAAACTGCTTAGGGTTCTAATTAATATTTTGTCAAGATTTCTTACAATGATTCTACTTCAAAAGTCCTTGTTAAATTACTTGTCTAATTGTCAAAGAAAAGAATGTTTATTTGTTCTAAAACATTTGTAAACAATTGAATGTTTATATTTATATGAAGCATCAATAAAAGGGTTTGGGATTTTTTAATAGAATAAGGATTGCTAAACTCAGCTGTTTCTGAAATGGTATAACTTGGCATAGTTTCACTGAAAATTTAGGAGTTGTACTGTTTTTCAGCACTTGAAATTGACCTAAAATAATGTTGGATGTGAAAAAGAGCTGTAATTCCATCATGTTTTAACCCTTTCATATAAAAGATAAGGGATTAGTTCTTAATAATTTTTAATTTAATTTTCATCTTTGAGATGACACTTAAAAATAATGAGACACAAGAAAAAAAAAATATAAGCTATTTTTTGTGTGCTTTAGATGGTAGGTTAACACAGTGCACCTTTCTTTGTTGAAAGTCACCATTGAAGTACAAGCAGACTAATAACAAGCAATTTCTCAGCAGGATCTGGAAATGGAGGACTGGAATTTCAGGGAGTTTTCAAGGTCTAAAGCTGAATAGACAGAAAAATGCAGCTACCTATCAGGCTAAATGCCTTCAGCTTGCATTTCCCAGAAGGGAACTTCCTGGAAGCAGGCCTTGATAACTAGTTAAGGAACAGCATTTTATCAGCTGATTCTACTGAATTGCCTGTAGCAAACTCCCTAGAAATGGTTTCTAGAGCCAAAGTACTGCCAGCACCTTCAGAGTTTAAAGGTAATAATATTTTGATACTCTCACCACAGTTACTGGTTCTTCTCAAGAATGTAATTAAGAAACATATGCCTAATCAAATCAAAACCAAGACTAAATTATTGCAGGTGTAATGGACATTGGGAGTAGTCAGAAGCACACAAGTTTTATGTGAAGCCAAATGAAAATTAAGGATCTCATCCTATCTTGAAATTATAGTATGATAAAATTAACCAGAAACGTGAAATAATGCACAGATTCAGGATATTCAGGGTCTTTTGCTTTGTCTTCACAAATATCTTAATCCATGTGAGAAAATACTTACAGGCTGATTGATTCCAGTAAGTTACCAACTCTTTTATTGGTACTATAACCATTTTAACTATTTGAAGGCCTTGCTCCAGCTGTTCTCCTCCTCCTATTTCAAGAGCTTTTACTAGTGTGGCAGCTGGAATGATCATGGGAAATCCTTTCTGTACACCCTGTGCTCTAACTCTGAAGGGTTTAAATGGAACAGTTTAAGGATTCGACTCAATAATAAATATTGTTTATACAGAGATATCACATTTGCAATTTGCTTTTTTTTGACTGTCTGCAGGCTGGCACACTTGGATGTATTTGTAAGTACATGGAATTCTTTGTTCATTTTGCTTTAAAACTAAAATTGAGAAAAAAATTCCTATTTTCAGCCTTTATATGCTGTTATAAGAAAACATTAAACTATGTATACTGGGCAAGTATTTTATAATTTATAAATACATTTTATTTTGAAAGAAAGCAAATTATGCTGTAGGGATACGGAATTATTATTTTTTTAGTAACTATACCCATTCTTGCTTCACTGACTGATTTCTATTTTGAGTACATTAATGTCTGTAAAAGTTTACAGAGTATTTTAAAACTGGTTTATGCATAAAATGAAAATGTTTAAAAGCTGTGGTAAAACAAGTGACACTAAAGGAGCTAAATTTTGTATCTGGTCTTTGCTTAAAAGAAATCTAAATATTAATTTTACAGCAGATGCAGAGAGTTGCTAAATAGTGACTATTTCCTTGAAATGTAGTATTTTGACGTGTAAAATGGTGGTAACTTCCTGATTAGGAAGCTGTATCAGCATCTTAAAATTGTTTTAGTAGCTCTTGGTATTTAAGTAGCTCTTGGTATTTAACAACACATTTCAACATGAGCAGAAAGACTGCTTTTTTTTCCAAAGAGCTTTTCATGTGGATATGACAAGGAAGGGTTGGTTCTCCTCAGCTTTTTGAACCATAGGAAGAGAATGTGTGTTTTTCCTGTTACATACTTTATAGAGACACAGGTGTCATCAGTAATGTTAACAATGTCAAGTTATATCTTAGAATAAATGTAATTACTTACAATTAATGTCACTTCTTAACAATCCTGGTTATGGTCAAACACTAATCAACCAAGCAAGACAGTAAAAGGGCAGATAAATAGAAAAAGGTGTTTTATATATATATATATATATGTATATATTTCTGTATGCATATATACATATGTATTTCTGTAGAAAATATAAATAATAAATAAATAATACTATAATAAATAATATCTATTTCTTTCCTTATCACAACTTAAAAGGAAATTAAGGGATGTGGGTTTCTTCCATTGTTTCTGACTGTACTGCAATAACAAGAGCAGGAGCTGAAGTTGCTCCTGCTGAGCAGAAGAGAAGTTATTCCTGTGTGTGAAGCAGGGCACTGTGGGGAGAGGATGTGCAATTTCATTGAGCTACTGCACTCTGATGCACATTATTCAACAACAACTTACCTTTCTATGGGTCTTGGTAGAAAGGGTATTCTGGTTTTAGCCCACACAAAGTGACCAAATTCAGTTTTAGCATGTTCTGCTTGATCAGAATTGCAAGAAACAGGATAACTATGAACGAAATTACAGAATTATTTCATAGTAAATTAGAACCTTCAATTACATAGAAATGTTTATCATTCTTGATCTGGGCTCTACTCTCATTATTTTTTTTTTCATAATTTCTAAGCCAAATGAGAACCCAGCAGTTTTAAGACATAGAAACTATGCAGTGGCACACTAGATCAGCCTTGAGATCACACACTCCTATGTTCAAAGGGTACTGTCCTGTATTTTGATATTTTGATGCTACCTGTCAGGTAACAAACTCAAGGCCATTCTCTCATATGCAAATAAAATTCAGAGGTGACTTTGTCATTGCTTAGTTCAGTACATTCTTGTTTCTCTTCCAGTTCATGACAAGAGCAGCATTCCTCATTTGCCTTCTGTAATTAATTCATTCTTGCAGAATTTTCCTCTAATTGGTAATCAATCAAAGCCTTTCAACTCTCTGCATAAATGATGTCTGTCACCTGGCTTTATGGAGAAATTTGTGAAGGAAAAAGCCCTTATCCACAGTCAGAATGGGTAGGGACTTCAGAAGTAAACAGTTGTGTTCTGCATCACTACTTCAATAAAATCATCCCTCAGCTAGTGCTGGAGTGGTGCTTGTGTACAAAGAATAAAGCTCTGCAGCTCATTTCCAGGCAGCAGTTTGATGAAACCCGTAGCAACTCAGAAAAGTATATTGGAAATAGAAGTTGGTGACAAAGCACAAATGAGACTCAGCCATGCTTTGAGATGAAAGTCATAAACCAGAAAGTTTTATCAAGAGAAATGAAGGAATACAAAGAAACCAAATCATCTCCACAATTGTAAAGTAGGAAACATAATTCCATACCTATTCTGAGTCCTACAAAAACAAACAAACAAAAACCAAAACCCTCATAGCTGCAGGAATTTAAAAGCTAGAAATGTCACAGAAACACACAGTCTTTAAAAGAAGCTCTATATACAGTGGACCTACTTGTACCTCTCTTCTAAATACAAAAATTTTATCACAGAAATTCAGTTTTTATGTTTGAGATCTGTTCATTAGCAGCTCATTTCAGAGTAGTCACAGGACTATTAATGTGTGCTTGAAATAAATTAAAGCCAGTAGGTAAATGTGCTGTACTCAGGACCAATAAAGAACAAACAAAGCTAAGTGATCTTATAATGCCAGCTGCATAGAAGATCCACATGACTCCAACAGCCTGCCTTTATTTTAAGCTTGGAAAGTAATTTATTCACTCACAACATATCATTCCTTTGTGGGCTGATTGTGGAGTCACAAATTTTATCAGTGAACACCTTAATCTTCTGAAATCACCAGGAAAATATTCAGGTCAGTGATGTGCAAGCTAAGATTTTCTCCCTGCAGTTCCATTTGAAGGTGCAGCAATCTCAAAACATCTCCCATGACACCCTTGCAAGGAAAAAAATAATTTCTGGAGTTACTAATGGGAAAAGAGACATTGGAAACTGTGCTGGTTTTAGTACTAAAATGAGAAGGCAAAACTGGATTTTGTTATTCTATATTTCTGCAAAGGAGAGTTTGCTCATTAAGTTTATTCAAATAAATGTCCTTTGTGGTGGTCTCCAAAAAAGGAACACTTACAATTATAGACAAATTAAAGCTTACATTTACCATTCGAGCCATATTCCTTTCATTCCACTAACATTTCCTCAAAGGCTGAGAAGATAAAAAAGGTGTTGGCATGATTACAGAGAAAAGGAGCAAAGAGCCATTTGTTTATGGTATTTATGGACAGGGAGCCTTCTAGTTCCATCACATCTCTGGAACAGCAGAAATGTAATAACATTTGGATTTGAGTGCAGTGCAAGCACGTGCTGCTAAGTGTTCTTTCACTGACATGTCACTGTCCATGGAAGCCAAAATGTCACATGAGAATTAGCATTAACAAAGGCAAGCAGAAAACACTCAAGTCAGCACAACTCTGCTTGACATTGTTTTCAAAGAAAAATGTTTCATCCTAGAGATAGTAAAAAATTTCCTCGGAAATTGTCTGGGCAATTTTCCTGTCAGTTCTCATTTTATTCTGCATTTTTTTCTAGGCAGTTTAATGAAACCTGGGTTAGTTAGGTTAGGTCAGTCTATGGTCACCAGGAGTGACACCACAAATGTGTCACTCCCTCTGAAGCCATTCCTAATACAAATGCAGGTCCTTCTGTCTAGGAGGAATTCTGAGTAAGGTTTTTATTTCTGTGAAGTGCAGCCTGTCCCATGTGAAACCTGTTTGGATCTGCATGACAGGACTGCATGAAAGTTGCTGGATGGATTTTCCAGTAGGGGAAAGTAAAAAAAAAAGGGCTGAGCATCAAACACACAGGAGAAGTGGTTCTTGAACTAGAAAGCTTAAATGTAGAACTGGACAGAAAAATGAGCCTGCCTTCCCTCCCTGTGAGATTTTTATCAGCACAGATTAAATCAGAGCATTCAAGTTGTGATTTTATTAAAATCAAAACATTAGTTATTAAACTTACTTCTTTTGTTCATTTTAATGCTTCTGGCTAAAATTTTTTAGGGTTGGGTCCAAACTGTATTGCCATCTCCACCACACCTTCCCTAAAGTTGCTGGATGATTTTTCACTAAAAGAAATCCTGAAAATGTTCTCTAGTGAACAAAAATTTTGTTTGTTGAAGAGACCAATTATCCATTGAAGAACAATATCACCAGAAATTCATCAGAATTTAATCACCTATAATTTATCCCAGAGACAAGAGAGTTGGAGAAGTAAAAAAGTGACATTCAAGGAAGTCACTTCTTTCCTAATGATGGTACAAAGATCACTTCATATAGAATTAGCAATAAAATGCAGGACACGCATTCAGAATACTGTTCCTGGGATGGTATACATTACATTATGAAGAAATCCAGAGGGTTTGAACTCCTTTAATTTGAGACAGCAGTTCCTGGAGTCTCAATACCCAATGCCAGCCCCATGTAGCAGAGCCAGTGTAAAAGTGCAGTGGCCTCCAGAGGAAGAGCCCACATGGACCGAGAGGAGCACGGCAGCTGTCCCAGACTTTGCCAAGATCCAGACAAAATACAGTCAAGGGTATCAAGAGATTTTCAAAAAGATACAAACTGGATGAACAAAGCACCACCAATGTGCCAGCAATGTAATCTGCTCAGTTTAAGGGTAAGAGGAGGAAGTGTGGAGAGTTATGCACAACAGTGAGGAATTATGACCTAATTCCAGAGAATGGTTCTTGCCTGATTTAGACAGCTGAAGGTCTTCTGTTCCAGACACTCCCTCATTCCTGGTGATGAGCTACTGCTAGCTGGGACAAGCTGGGACTGTGACCCTCTCATAACTGTGAAATCAAACAGCCACAGCTAGTTCAATCATCAAAATACCTGGCTGAGTCTTCCAAAAAGGTTTGTTTTTTGTCTTAGAAGGTGTCCAGGAATGTTCCAGTCCTGTGAAACCAACTGGTTCACAGATTCCTTGGTTGTTGTAGTTCACAGCAGGTTTTGGTTTTGTTTGTTTGTTTTCCAATCCATTCCAATAAAAATGATGAAAAGAACAGCAAACTCCATTGTAACTCATTGAGGTGTATGGGATAGGTATTGCTGTGGCTCTCGTGACAAGGCTGTACCAACACCCACAATTACCCACTCAAGGTAGTCAGTCTCAGTTTTCCTTCCTCACATCTGCCAAGTGTGGTTCCCACAATCTCATTATCTCAAACAACACTCAAGAATTCTATTCCAAAATATGAAGACTTTCTTAATGCCAAAACCCCAAATTTGCTTTATACAACTACTTCATCTCTTTTTTTACATTGTATTCTTTGTACATATGTCTGACTAATACAAATCACTGCTTTCTGACATTTTTGTCAACTGCTGAATACATTATTCATGAATGTTTATTTATTTCTGCTGAACCAGCTCTAGAAATAGTGAAATAATATCCACTAAGTAGTTTTAGTGTGCCTTTTATTTTTATATTTTTATAAACCAAATAATTTGGGGGTTATTTTTTAATCCAATGTGCTATGTTCATTTTAAGGACAGTGAACTCTGGTTAGATTTTTATAAATGCCTTCCCACAAGGAAGCTGGACTAGCACATCTCCTGACAGCTTTTTAAGAAGAGAAAGAAAGTATTCCAGAATACAATACCAGCTATGTAGCTAAGGGCAGACAAGTGATCACCCTAAATCCCATTAGTGTCCTTTTTGGGTACACAATTCAGTCAAATTATTATGTTATTCTAAATGCTATAGACACATGTTTTTGCAAAAAGATGAAGGTACATATACTGGGACAGGCCAAGTGAAGAGCAATTTGAGATCTTAAACAAACCTTTCATTGCCTTACCACTAATTTAATTCCAATTCACATCCAAGGGTATTAACATGGTTTTAATAGTACATATTTGTCACATAAACAGTCGTTTATGCCCACCTTAGAGTGAAAGGCTTAGGAAAAGACAGGTTATCTCTTTGGTTTTATTTAAATGTAGCACTATTTTCCATGAGTGAAGGGACATATGAGCCCTTCATTTTATATGGCGCATACAATATGAAAAAAAATTAGCATAATATATTTAATCTCTATC